GAGACGGGGTTTCACTGTGTTAGCCAGGATGGTCTCGATCTCCTGACCTCGTGATCCTCCCGCCTCGGCCTCCCAAAGTGCTGGGATTACAGGCTTGAGCCACCGCGCCCGGCCAGCACCAGAATGTCCTTTAAAGAACTAAAGCTGCAGGGCGCTATGTCGCTAGGACCCAATGTTGTCTGTCTCTTCCCGCCAGTGGACATCTTTTTTCCAGGCAGTCTGGGGGTGTATCCAAGGGCCTTGGCACTGCCACAGCCCAGGCTGCCTGGCCCTGGGCAGAGAGGGGCTGGGCAGGGTTTTACAGAATCTCGGAGCCTGCTCCTGGCTGTCGGAGAGCCCTCGACTCAGCGTTTCCCCAACAACACGGTGACGTGGTGGAAGAGCCAGGCACCTCTCGTGACCATCTGTGCCATGCTGTCTACACACATGCACACACACACGCATACACACACACGCACATGCACACTCATACACACAATCTCACACACACACTCACACACAGCATGCACACTTACACACACTCATGCAATCTCACACTCACATACACAATCACACATGCACACACATACAGACATGCACATGCACACTCATACACATAGTCGCACACACATACAGACATGCACATGCACACTCATACACACAGTCACACACACACAACATGCACACACACTCATACAACCTCACACTCACACACATGCACACACAAAATCTCACACACTTGCACATACAACATGCACACATACAATCTCACATGCACACACATGCACACATACAACATGCACACACACTCATACAATCTCGTGGGTCAGTGACTCACAGGGCCCAGGGGGTAAGGTGGCCTGGGAGAGCCCAGCCTGGGCTTGCTACGTCCACACTGGGGTGGGCTGCATCCCTGTCTCCCCACCAGGGGTGTGGCACAGATACACCATGGAATGCTATGCAGCCATAAAAAAGGATGAGCTGGTGTCCTTTGTAGGGACGTGGATGCAGCTGGAAACCATCATTCTCAGCAAAGTTTTGTAAGAACAGAAAACCAAACACGGCATGTTCTCACTCACAGGTGGGAATTGAACAATGAGATCACTTGGACACAGGGTGGGGAACATCACACACTGGGGTCTATTGTGGGGAGGTGGGTGAGGGGATGGATGGCATTAGGAGATACACCTAATGTAAATGATGAGTTAATGGGTGCAGCACACCAACATGGCACATGTATACGTATGTAACAAACCTGCATGTTGCGCACATGACCCTAGAACTTAAAGTATAATTAAAAAAAAAAGCTTCAGTGTATTTTGTTCTAATTTATATTTAATGGATTAATTTTAGTTAATTGATTTTATGAAGACACTTGAAAGGTGAACTGAAATGTATGGTGCAGATATAAAACTAGTTAAATCATTGGAAAAATTAGCTTGGCTTTTATTGTTATTTCTCAGCCTGGAATTCTCTGAAGCATCTGATAATATTGACCCTCTGAACTGCTTGATCATTAGTCTTTTTTTTGGAGGCGGAGTCTCACTCTGTCGGAGTGCAGTGGTGTGATCTCAGCTCACTGCAACCTCCACTTCCCAGGTTCAAGCAATTCTCTGGCTCAGCCTCCTGAGTAGCTGGGGTTACAGGCCCCTGCCACCATGCCAGGCTAATTTTTCTATTTTTAGCAGAGATGGGGTTTCACCGTCTTGGCCAGGCTGGTCTTGAACTCCCTCCATGATATCTGTCTAATGCATTTCAACAACTGCCTATTTTTCCCTCATATGGTTGTCATTCCTGTGGGGCGGCTCTCCTCCCACGCACCTGGCCGTTCATAAAGGGTTTCTCCCACGGCTGTCCAAGAATCAGCCTGATGAAGGGGATTGTTGCCGCTGCTCCTGCACCATTCTCCCAAACTTAGCGTCAGCTCAAGACTGTGCCCGGCAAGGAAGGGACCAACGCCAGCCTTACACTCACCTGTGGGGCAGACGCCCACATCTGAGCACCGTGGACTGAATCTGTTTCTCACACACAGGGGAGGGGCTGAGAGCTGACTGTGGACTCCAGTGAGTGAGCAGAGACCCCCCAGCACCTGTCCACACACACAGGGGAGGGGGAGCCACAGCTTCCAGCCCCACCCAGAGCCCTGACCCCTCCCTGCCTGGGAGGACCTGGGGTTCCTCTTCTGTCCCACATGGAGGTGGGAACCTCCACCCTAATGACCCTGGGTGGTCCCAGACACCTGTGGCCACTCAGCTTTGAACTCTGTTCATTGATGGGGACGCGTCTCAATGATGGGAACTTTTCTCTCTTTCTGTGCCTGTGGCTGTGGTGATCTGCGTATTTCAGATGTATCACAAGGAGCATTTCTTGGTATTTGGAGCTGATGTCGGCTCTTGAGTGGGGGCGTCAATCATCCTCCTTGACTGTGGAACCGGACACCGGGATCCTCTCCCGTCCCACCCTCCGGTCTGAACTGGTCTGGACCAGGATCCTCTCCCGTCCCACCCTCCGGTCTGAACTGGTCTGGAAATTCACCACGGCTGAGCCTCCCGTGTCCTGGCACCACTGACCCCACAGCCACTGTGATGAGTGGGGTTCATGACAACAGGCTCAGAGGTGACATTAATGTCTAAGGTCACATAAACCCTGGATGATAATCAGGAATTAAACACAAATCAGCTCCCCTCCCCCAGAATCAGATTACAGACCTAACAAACTGTTCTGAAAATCCTGAACATGGACGGAGGTGCCAAGGGACGGCCAAGGACACAAGGGGCACTGAGGAGGCAGGACCGACTCAGAGCCTCATTCCCAGGGTGAGGGGTGGGTGATGTTGCAATGAAGAAAAAAGGGGAAGTACAAGGGAGGGACTGTTTGGTAGGAAGGAAACACACACTCAAGAAACAGAACAAATATGTTTTATTCTATTTATTCCCTGCATTTCCCCTTTTGAGACGGGGTCTCACTCTGTCACCGAGGCTGGAATGCCGAGGGGTGATCATAGCTCCCTGTAGTCTCTGCCTCCCAGGCCCAAGTGATCCTCCCACCTCAGCCTCCTGAGTAGCTGGGACTCGAGGTGTGAGCTGCCGTGCCTGGCTAAGTTTTTTGCTTTTTTTTTTTTTTTTTTTTTTTTACAGACAAGGTCTTGCTATTTGGCTGAGGGTAATTGAAGCTCCTGGCCTCAAGCCATCCTCCCGTCTCAGCCTCCTGAAGTGCTGGGATTCCAGGCGTGAGCCACCACGGTAGACCCTGCATTTCTCCTGTGTGCTCACTGCCACACGCGGCTCAGCCTGGGCTGCACAGCCAGGTGTCAGGTGCGTCTCTGCTGACCTGGGTCTGCCTGCAGCATGGACCTGCATCTTCCCTGAAGCATCTCCAGGGCTGGAGAGACGACTGCTGTGGTAAGGACCCCGCGACGCTGAGCTGATGGACGGGCTGGAGGGGGAAGGAAGACCTTGGGGGATGCTGTGAAGGGGAAGCCTCTGTTCACCCTCATCTGGAAGGGCAGACACAGAAAGCACCAGTTCTATTTGCTGCTACATCCCAGGTCTCAAGGAGATGAGGGTAAACCAGACAGACAGTGGCGGGGGTCAGGAAAGACCCCATTTCTGTCTGAAATGTCTGCAGAGGGCCTGGTGCCTGCCCCAACCTCAGACCTAAAGGAATGACAGCCAGGTTCCTGGGGAGGGCAGTTCTGCTTCCTGTGTGGCTGCAGATGACAAAATCCCTTGACAAGAAGGGCCCAGCCTCTGAGTGTCCACACCCTGTGTGTCTCTGTCCTGCCAGCACCGAGGGCTCATCCATCTGCAGAGCAGGGCAGTGGGAGGAGACGCCATGACCCCCATCCTCATGGTCCTGATCTGTCTCGGTGAGATTTGAAGAGGGAGGGGAGATTCTAACCTAGGAGGGACCTCACCCCACAGCCAAACTCTGGTGCATAAGGAGACCCCAGGGGCTCACAAAGATCCCAGGGAGGGGAGGACCTGCTCAGGCTTCAGGGGCAAATCTCTCACCGGGAACTCTCTTCCAGGGCTGAGTCTGGGCCCCAGGACCCACGTGCAGGCAGGTGAGTCTGTCCCCAGCTGTCCCAGGTCCCTCCTCCTCACTGGGGACAAGGCGCCACCTCCGTGCAGCTGGGGACGGGGAATAGCAGACCTGGGCTGACTGATGGGGGCGTCTGGAGGGTCCTGCAGCCAATAGCTGAGATCTGTTGGGTGGGAAATGACTTAGAATCTGATCTCTGATTTCCTTCCAGGGACCCTTCCCAAGCCCACTCTCCGGGCTGAGCCAGGCTCTGTCATCACCCAGGGGAGTCCCGTGACCCTCAGGTGTCAGGGGAGACTTCAGGTTCAGGCGTATCGTCTATATAGAGAAAAAAACCCAGCATCCTGGGTTAGACGGATACAACGAGAGCTTGTCAAGAAGGGCTATTTCCCCATTGCATCCATCACCTCGGAACATGCAGGGCGGTATCGCTGTCAGTATTACAGCCGCAATCACTCATCAGAGCTCAGCGACCTCCTGGAGCTGGTGGTGACAGGTGAGAGGACACTCAGGGGTCCCAGCCCCAGGCTCTACCCTCAGGAAGGGGGTCGGCTCTCAGGGGCGTCTTCCTCTCACAGCCCAGCCCTGGGGATGATGCGGGAGGCGTGAGTCCCATTTAACACGGTGCCTCCTTCTCTCCCAGGAGCCTACAGCAAACCCACCCTCTCAGCCCTGCCCAGCCCTGTGGTGGCCTCAGGAGGGAACGTGACCCTCCAGTGTGTCTCACAGGTGGCATTTGATGGCTTCGTTCTGTGTAAGGAAGGAGAAGATGAACACCCACAACGTCTCAACTCCCACTTCCATGCTCGTGGCTGGTCCTGGGCCGTCTTCTCCGTGGTCCCTGTGAGCCCGAGTCGCAGGTGGTCGTACCGGTGCTATAGTTATGACTCACGCTCTCCCTATGTGTGGTCTTTACCCAGTGATGTCCTGGAGCTCCTGGTCCCAGGTGAGAAATTCACAGCATTGCCTGGAGTTCCCTGAGTCTCTGGGCAGGTGGGGAGGAGCCGCGTCTCAGGGCAGCGCCAGGTGGGATGATGTTGGGACGAGAGGGCTCAGGGCTCCTGGGGCCAGAGACACAGGAAGATCAGCAGTGGTGAGGCCCAGGGGGAGAGGGAGGGTTTGTGGGGAAGCCTGAGGGTCGCTCCTGGAAACCGTGACCACCTTTTCCCAGGTGTTTCTAAGAAGCCGTCACTCTCAGTGCAGCCGGGTCCTGTTATGACCCCTGCGGAAAACCTGACCCTCCAGTGTGGCTCTGATGCCGGCTATGACAGATTCGTTCTATACAAGGAGGGAGAACGTGACTTCCTCCAGCGCCCTGGCCGGCAGCCCCAGGCTGGGCTCTCCCAGGCCAACTTCCCCCTGGGCCCTGTGAGCCACTCCCACGGGGGCTGTTACAGATGCTGTGGTGCACACAACCTCTCCTCCGAGTGGTCGGCCCCCAGTGACCCCCTGGACATCCTGATCTCAGGTGAGGAGCCCTGTGGGTTCAGTCAGGGACCCAGGTTCTGCTCAGGCCCTGCTGGGGGAGCCCAAGTGGTGATGGCCAGGATGAGGGGCGGGGGTCCCAAGGGAGGGAGACACAGACAGAGAGAGGGTATGAGCGGGAGGGGGAGACTCAGAGACAGAGAGACTGAGGGTCCCAGAGAGAGGCCTGGAGAGGTGTCAGCTCAGAACAAGGTGGGAGCCCCTCACCCATCCTTCTTCTCTCCAGAACACTTCTATGACACGGTCTCCCTCTCGGTGCAGCCGGGCCCCACGGTGGCCTCAGGAGAGAACGTGACCCTGCTGTGTCAGTCATGGGGACAGTTCCACACTTTCCTTCTGACCAAGGAGGGGGCAGCCCATCCCCCGCTGCGTCTGAGATCAGAGCACGGAGCTCACCAGCACCAGGCTGAATTCCCCATGGGTCCTGTAACCTCAGCCCACGCGGGGACCTACAGGTGCTACAGCTCACTCAGCTCCAACCCCTACCTGCTGTCTCACCCCAGTGACCCCCTGGAGCTCATGGTCTCAGGTGAGGACCCTGACCCTGTCCCCTCTGAGCTCAAAGGCTCAGCTCAGGCCCTGCCCCCGGCAGAGCTCTGGGACAATAATGAAAGAGGGCGGTGAAGGGGGAGGGTCCACAGGGAAGGGCCCAGCCCATGGGAGGGTGGAAATAGACGGGACCTCCCACCCCTGGCTCCCACCCATGAAGTCTCAGTAGGATAAAGAGCAGGGAGGGCTGGGAGGAGATGGGGGTGAACCTCAGAGATGAGATTAGACTGAGGGTGGAAGACGGAGGCCCCACCCGCTCTCCTCCTGATGTCTCCACCTCAGAATCAGAGCCTCTGGGGGTCCCAACCTCTAAGTCCTGACCCCATTCGTGACAAAAACAGCCAGTCCCAGCTCAGGAGAAGTTTCCGGTCTCGTTTCAATGCTACCTCCAATATTTAGGGTCTGATTCAGGGCAGCAGAGGGGAGGGTGGACAGTAAGGGTGTGGTCCTCGTGGCTTCCTGGCACTCCAGGGTTGGGGCAGGTGTTCCCTCCGTGGTGGTCAGAGGGGAGGGAGGTGTCTGAGGTTCGACATTGATGAGCAGGATTCCCAGGAGCCATGACTCTTATCTCTGGGGGCATTGACTGCTGTGGTCCTGCACCTGCTCTTTGCAGCCTGTTAGGGCTCAGAGAGCACACAAGGTCCCAGGATGCACAGAGAGCACCCAAGGTCTCGGTTATTTCTGGACTGGGGACCACTTTCCTTATAGATGCTGAGCTCCTGCGGTGCAGGAAAACTCTCCCGAATGACTCAGGAGCAGAGTTTGGATTTGTTGAACACAGAAGGTCTAAAATAATTCAGTGAGGAGACTGGAGGGAACCCTGCTACAGCAAAGGAAGGGTTTCTGAGGAACTCCATAAAACTCATGTCAGTAGACACAGGGGAAGAGAAGAATGCAGAGGCCAGGAGCGAGGCTGGGCTCAGGGCTCTTCTCCACTGTTTTGATTCTCAGGAGCAGCTGAGACCCTCAGCCCGTCACAAAACCAGACAGACTCCAAGACTGGTGAGTGAGGAGATGCTCTCGGTTATGGGACTGGCACAGAGGGTCAGGGACAGTCCAGGGGAGGTGGGTGCCCTGGGTGGACATCCAGGGGTCCCCGGGTGATTCTGACCTGCCCTGACCTCTGTGACCTCTTTGTCCACCATCCCTAGGCCAACACCCACAGGATTACACAGTGGAGAATCTCATCCGCATGGGCGTGGCTGGCTTGGTCCTGGTGGTCCTCGGGATTCTGCTATTTGAGGCTCAGCACAGCCGGAGAAGCCCCCAAGATGCAGCCTGCCGGTGAACAGCAGAGAGGACAATGCACCCTTCAGAGTGGTGGAGCCTCAGGGACAGATCTGATGATCCCAGGAAGTTCTGGAGGACAATCTAGGACCTACATTATCTGAACTGTCTGCTGGTCACTTCCAAAGACAGGAATCCATATTTGAGTGCAGGGAAACTATCTGGGGTGATTCCTAGAAGATCATTAAACTGTGACACATTTTTTTGTCTATGAATGTTGACTTTCCTTGACTGGATCCCCCTTTCTTTCCCATCCCCAGACATGAAGCTCCATCCCACATAGCATCGTTGGGTCCACACCTCTGCACACCTGCGTGCTCTGGTCCACGGCATGTAACACAGTCTTCCTTATTCCTCATTGTGACACTCCTTGTTGTCCCTTACCGAGTCGCCATCTCTTCAGTTCAGAGATCCAAACCTGAACCACCAACTGAATCGACAATAGGAGATCAGATTCCAACCAGGAAAACATAAATCCACCCTGAAGACTTAACGCCCTCCCTGGACCCTATGAGCCCTTCCCTCTTTCTTAGGTGCTATCTGTGTAATTTCTCCTGAAATATCACCTCTTGGAATCATCACTCACACATTTCAAGTGACACCACAGCTATGTTGATTCTGAAAAAGACATCTTTAAAATGCTATTATTAATGGTATCTACCAGTTTCTGTGACATAAAATTTTTTTTTCATGGCCCCAATCAAGGTGCCAATGAGTTCTCACTGAATGCAGGGTTGGGAATCAAGGGACACAGGTGTCTTCACTAATGAGCACCAGGCACCTGTGGCACATCCCACTGAGAGCTCACTCATCTACCTTCTAATTCAGAGGCAATGATCACTTCTATTTCAGTGTTATGGCACAGGTGAAATGAAATTCTCAGACTGTTATCCTAGCATATCCACGAAAGACAAACGTGTTAATATGTGAGAGATAACACAACTCACTTAAAAATCTAAGTACAACATAAGAAAAGTGTTACCAGAACTATGCAGCTTCGACGGAAGAATTCTTTTTTTTTGGAGACAGAGTTTCACTATCGTCACCCAGGTTAGAGTGCAATGGCGGACTCTCAGCTCACTGCTACCTCCGGGTCCTGGGTTCAAGCAGTTCTCCCGCCTCTGCCTCCCAAGTAACTGGACTACAGGTGTGTGCCACCATGCCCGGCTAACTTTTCTATTTTTACTAGAGACAGAGTTTCAGCATGTTAGTCAGGTTGATCTTGAACTCCTGACCTCAGGTGATTCGCCGCCTTGGCATCCTAGTGTTGGGATTGCAGGCATGAGCCACCGCACCCAGTTGATGGAATAATTCTTAAATGACTTGTCCTATTTTCTGCTGGTCCAGACACTCCTTGACTTGGGGCAGCATAGCGCCAATTTCTGCCTCCATCTTCTCACTGCCTACGTCTACCTGGGTACCTCTGTTTTCACATCCATTCTTCTCTGTGTGTCTCTTCTCTTCTTCAGATTATGACACCAGTCAGATCAGAGTAGGACCCATCCTAATTCGTTATGATCCCTTGATCATACCTTAAATGCATTTGCAAAGACTCTATTTCCAACTATGTTCACATTTATAGGTAATGGGTCTCAGAATTTTAACATGTATATTAGGGGAACAAGGGAATTTATATTTTAAAAAACGCATAGAAATACATTTAACCAAATACAAAAATTAGGTAGGCGTGGTGGTGGCACGTGCCTGTAATCCCAGCTACTCGGGAGGTTGAGGCAGGAGAATTGCTTGAACCTGTGAGGCAGAGGTTGCAGTGATCTGAAATCGTGCCATTGCACTCCAGCCTGGGTAACAGAGTGAGACTCAGTCTCAAAAAAAAAAAAATAAATAAATAAAAAAATAAAAAAAAAAAAGAAAAAGAAGAAAAAGAAAAGAAATGAAATACATCTAACCAAAGAGATGCAATACATATACACTGACAATTCAAAAATACTGCTCATAGAAATAACGAAAGACGTAAATGAGGAAAAAGTCATCCCAGCATCACAAATCAAAAGGCTTTAGGTTTGTTCTGTCCCTCTAGAGAACCTTGACTAACACACTCATCCCTTTTTTGTGTTAGGGGGCCTCTCACTCACTCACCCCCTCCTCTTGTTAGGAGGCTCTCCCGACTCTGGGCTTTTCTCCTCTGTGCTTTCCATGTCCCCGTGCTTCTCTGGTGAGCCCCAGGATGCTCTCTGAAAAGATCCACTTGGTGTTTCGGTATTTACTCACCATTTTGATTCCTCTTAAGGAGAGAGGCACACGTCTGCTCTTCCCATTCACCCAAATTGAGCCTGAACCCCTGGTCATTTTTTTCCCACTTTTTACTTTTGGGAAATTCAGTCCCAACGTGCTTGTCATTCATTTGAGAATAATTTTCATTTTCTCCTGTAGTTTTAAAACTACTTTTTATTTATTCTAGATATCTTTCATTCTACCATGGTCAAGACATTAATTTTATTTATAAATTTGTGCACATTAAGCTCATGTTCTTTGTTCATTTCTGTAAAAACATCAACTGTTTTCTTTGCAAGTTTTACTAACATACTCCTTCTTTCATTCTGAAAGTGTGATCCTTAGAGAGATATCTCTTTACCCTTCTCATTCTGTTTCTTGTGTACATTAATTATGTTTTCTATTTTTTCATTTCTAAAGTTGCTCTGATGACTTCTGAAAATTTTAGTAAATATTCTACACCAGTATAATATTTATCATTTCAGCTGTGTCTTGTTCTGGATGAAATTATTTCTAAATGTGTTAATATAATTTACTATTTTTCACCTCAAAATATCTTTGTAATTCATTTCTATAATTACCTGTTTTTTCTCTAATAGACTGTTTGACTTTTATTCCTTTTGGTGATTTTCTCTTACACAATTGATCTTCTATTCAGGTTTTCTCCCAGGACTGACTCAGCAATGAAAATTGATGGGGGGCACTGCTGCGGCCGCTCATGTCCTGCAGTGTCCACGCTCCCAAGCTTAGAATCAGCTCCGTGTTGTGCCCAGTACGTCAGGGCCCATGTGAGCCTCACACACATGTATGAGAGATGCCCGGTCCAGCAATGATAAAGCGAGTCTGTGTCCTGTCCACCCGGGAAGGTGGCTTAGTGCTGAGTGTGGCTCGGGTTACTGAGGGGAGCTATCCCAGCATCTGTCCACAAACACAGAAGAGGCGGAGCCAGTCTCTCTAGGATCCAACAGTCTCCCCTACTTCTTTCTTTGTTCTGAGAGAGAGACAAAGCGCCATGACTGCTCTGTGGGTTGGACAGGTGCATGTTTCCACCTGCAGGCGTGAACCCAAGCTGAGGTCCTGAGCATTCCCAGGTACTGATAAAGCACTTCAGGTTTTTTCTAGAAAACAATGAAAAATTAACCCTTTTGCTAAAGAGGTAGAAACAAGCCATCCCTGAACCAAATTCCTGAAACTCTCAGGTTAAACTTTGTAACCCACTCCCTTCACTGCAGACACCCAATAGGAAATTCACAGGTGCAAGGATGAGATGACTTTGGTCAAACTCAGACCCCACAGGGCCAGGAAGACCTGAAGGAGAGGAGGCTCATGCTTCCAGGTCTCAGATAAGAACTGTTTCTAAGGACTTTTTTAAAACGCTACAAGAAACTCTTCCATGTCCTTCACTCATCTCCTGCTTTGACAAGGTTTATCACTAGATATTCTTTAGGACATCAGGAATTCGGATAAGATGCTCTTAAGAGAACACTTGCCCAGCAACAGCATCTCCTCCAATGGACCGACAGCAACTCTGGCTTTGAACCTCTGGAACCAGGGAACTCTGTTTCTAAGCAGCTCTGTCAGTCGCTTTGGTACATCAGGTTTTGATACATGTAGGGAATACTGAAACGAATTCCCTGTGTATCCCAAGAAACAACTCTACCGAGACATATTCTCTAGGGGTTTATTTTTGTTTTTGTTTTAGGTTAAAGTCTTGGATAGAACACCCAGTGTTTCCTTGTTCATCTGAAGAACATGCTGCTATGTGGAAGCACATCCTTGAGGTCCACAAGTAGACACTGGGCAAGGAGACAAGGACTCCCTACAGTACGGAAGTCCCCTTAATAAATGCTCTATGAACACTCTGGTGTTTAGTGCTTCTTTCTTTGGAATCCCAGCAGCTCTGTCACTGGATGGTTTGGTGCACTCCCTGGAGGGAATTCTCCTGGGCTGCTTGGGGTCCACTCCAGTCTCAGGTGTGGCTGGATGGATGCAGCCTCCCACCTTGGTCTGGAGCCCTCAGCTCCTCACTGTCATTGCAAATCCCGAGATTCCTCTCCCAGTTCCACTCAGTGGTGGAAACCTCAACCGTAATGACCCCTTCATGGTCCCAGGACCCTGTAGCATCTCATCTCTGGCTTCTGTTCTTTGTTGTTGATCCGTCTACACTTGGGAACTTCCACACGTCTTTTTCTGCTCATGACCTTGATGCTCTGGGTATTTCAGAAATGCCTGATGTACATTTCTCCATTAGGGTCACATGTGACATCTTAAGTGGAGACATCAATCACCTTCACAGACTGTGGAGTCCAACACCAAGATCCTCTCATGTCCCAAGCACCTCAGGTCTTACCCTGGTCTGGAAATCAGGCACAAATGAGCCCCTCCCAATGTCCCAGGCACCACTGACCCCACAACCACTGTGATGAGTGGGATTCATGACAACAGTCTGCAAAGGAAGAAGCTGAAGTTCAGAGATGGGACACTACAGACCAAGGTCACATAGGCAGTGGATGACAACCAGTCATCAAATAAGTATCAACTCCCTCCTCAACTCCTCAAATCAAAACAACATAAGTCATTGTTCCCAAAATGTTGACCAAGAATTGAGGTGCAGAGGGACGGCCAAGGATGCAAGGGGCACCGAGGAGGCAGGAAAGACTCAGAGGTTTGTTTCAGGGGGGTGGGGGTGGACACTGTAGCAAAATATTTTAAAAAGGAGAAGTTGAAGAAGGAGACTATTTGGCTGAAAAAAACCCACAATCCCGTGCCAAGAGAGAAGTCAACTTTTCTTCCCCTATTTCCCTGCATTTCTCCTCTGTGCTCACTGCCACACACAGCTCAACCTGGACTGCCCAGTCAGGTGTCATGTGCGTCTCTGCTGATCTGATTCGGCCTGCAGCATGGACCCGTGTCTTCCCTGAAGCATCTCCAGGGCTGAAGAGATGACTGCCATGGTAAGGACCCCACAACACCGTGCTGATGGACAGGCTGAAGGAGGGAGGGAGACCTTGTGGGAGGCTGTGAGAAGGAAGGAAAAGCCTTGGCTCACCCTGATCAGGAAGGGCACATACAGGAAGGCACCAGTTCTATTTGTTGCTATGTCCCAGGCCTTAGTGAAATGAGGACAAACCAGACAGACAGTGGCTGGGGGTCAGGAAACACCCCATTTCTGTCTGAACTGTCTACAGAGGGTGTGGTGCCTGCCCCCACCTCAGCTCTAAAGGAATAAGAGCCAGGCTCCTGGGAAGGGCAGTTCCACTTCCTGTGTGTCTGCAGATGACAAAACTCCATGAGAAGAATGACCCAGCCTCCGAGTGGCCACACCCTGTGTCTCTGTCCTGCCAGCACTGGGGGCTCATCCATCCGCAGAGCAGAGCAGTGAGAGGAGATGCCATGACCCCCATCCTCACGCTCCTGATCTGTCTCGGTGAGATTTGAAGAGGGAGGGGAGATTCTAACCTAGGAGGGGCCTCACCCCACAGCCAAATGCTGGTGCATAAGGAGACCCCAGGGGCTCACAAAGATCCCAGGGAGGGGAGGACCTGCTCAGGCTTCAGGGGCAAATCTCTCACAGGGAACTCTCTTCCAGGGCTGAGTCTGGGCCTCAGGACCCACGTGCAGGCAGGTAAGTCTGTCCCCAGCTGTCCCAGGTCCCTCCTCCTCACTGGGGACAAGGGGCCTCCTCCGTGCAGCTGGGGATGGGGATTAGCAGTTCTGGGCTGACTGATGGGGGCCTCTGGAGGGTCCTGCCATCAAGAGCTGAGATTCGTTGGGTAGGAAATGACTTAGAATCCGATCTGTGATTTCCTTCCAGGGACGCTTCCCAAGCCCACTCTCTGGGCTGAGCCAGGGTCTGTGATCAGCGAGGGGAGTCCTGTGACCCTCAGGTGTCAGGGGAGCCTTCAGGTTCAGGACTACCGTCTACAAAGGGAAAAAAAAACAGCATCCTGGGTTAGACGGATACAACAAGAACTTGTCAAGAAGGGCTATTTCGCCATTGCATCCATCACCTGGGAACACGCAGGGCGGTATCGCTGTCAGTATTACAGCCACAGTTGGTGGTCAGAGCTCAGTGACCCCCTGGAGCTGGTGGTGACAGGTGAGAGGACACTCAGGGGTCCCAGCCCCAGGCTCTGTCCTCAGGAAGGGGGTCGGCTCTCAGGGGCGTCTCCCTCTCACAGCCCAGCCCTGGGGATGATGTGGGAGGTGGGAGCCCATTTAACACGGTGCCTCCTTCTCTCCCAGGAGCCTACAGCAAACCCACCCTCTCAGCCCTGCCCAGCCCTGTGGTGGCCTCAGGATGGAATGCGACTCTCCAGTGTGGCTCACGGGTGGCATTTGATAACTTCGTTCTGTGTAAGAAAGGAGAAGATGAACACCCACAATGCCTGAACTCCCACTTCCATCCCCGTGGCTGGTCCTGGGCCGTCTTCTCCGTGGTCCCTGTGAGCCCGAGTCGCAGGTGGTCGTATCAGTGCTATGGTTATATCTCGAGCGCTCCCTATGTGTGGTCTTTACCCAGTGATCTCCTGGAGCTCCTGGTCCCAGGTGAGAAATTCACAGCATTGCCTGGAATTCCCTGAGTCTCCAGGCAGGTGGGGAGGAGCCGCGTCTCAGGGCAGCGCCAGGTGGGATGATGTTGGGACGAGAGGGCTCAGGGCTCCTGGGGTCAGATTACACGGGAAGATCAGCAGTGGTGAGGCCCAGGGGGAGAGGGAGGGTTTGTGGGGAAGCCTGAGGGTCGCTCCTGGAAACCGTGACCACCTTTTCCCAGGTGTTTCTAAGAAGCCGTCACTGTCAGTGCAGCCGGGTCCTGTCGTGGCCCCTGGGGAGAGTCTGACCCTCCAGTGTGGCTCTGATGCCGGCTATGACAGATTCGCTCTGTATAAGGAGGGGGCATGTGACTTCCTCCAGCGCCCTGGCCGGCAGCCCCAGGCTGGGCTCTCCCAGGTCAACTTCCCCGTGGGCCCTGTGAGCCACTCCCACGGGGGCCAGTACAGATGCTACGGTGCACACAACCTCTCCTCCGAGTGGTCGGCCCCCAGTGACCCCCTGGACATCCTGATCTCAGGTGAGGAGCCCTGTGGGTTCAGTCAGGGACCCAGGCTCTGCACAGGCCCTGCCGGGAGAGCCAAGAAGGTGATGGCCAGGATGAGGGGTAGGGGTCCCAAGGGAGAGACAGACAGACAGAGACAGGGGATGGGCAGGGAGGGGAGACTCAGAGAAAACAGACAGAGAGACTGAGGGTCCTAGAGAGAGGCCTGGGGAGGTATCAGCTCAGAGCAAGTTGGGGCAGCCCCTCATCCATCCTTCTTCTCTCCAGGACAGATCCCCGACAGACCCTTCCTCTCGGTGCAGCCGGGCCCCACAGTGGCCTCAGGAGAGAACGTGACCCTGCTGTGTCAGTCACAGGGATGGATGCACACTTTCCTTCTGACCAAGGAGGGAGCAGCTGATCCCTTCCTGAGTCTGAGATCAAAGTACCAATCTCATAAGTACCAGGCTGAATTTCCCATGGGTCCTGTGACCTCAGCCCATGCGGGGACCTACAGGTGCTACGGCTCACGCAGCTCCAACCCCCACCTGCTGACTCACCCCAGTGAGCCCCTGAAGCTCGTGGTCTCAGGTGAGGGTCCTGACCCTGTCCTCTCTAAGCTCAAAGGCTCAGCAAAGGCCCTGCTCCCAGCAGAGCTCTGGGCACTAAGAAAAGAGGGGAGTTGGCCTGTAATCTCAGCACTTTGGGAGGCCGAGGTGGGCGGATCACGAGGTCAGGAGATCGAGACCATCCTGGCGAACATAGTGAAACCCCGTCTCCCCTGAAAAATAGAAAAAATTAGCTGGGCGTGGTGGCGGGCGCCCGTAGTCCCAGATACTCGGGAGGCCGAGGCAGGAGAATGGCGTGAACCCGGGAGACAGAGGTTGCAGTGAGCTGAGATCCGGCCACTGCACTCCAGCCTGGGCGACAGAGCAAGACTCCGTCTCAAAAAAAAAGAAAAGAAAAGAAGAGGGGAGTAAACGGGGAGGGTCTGCAGGGGAGGGTCCAGCCCATGGGAGGGTGGAAATAGACGGGACCTCCCACCCCTGGCTCCAACCCCTGGACTCTCAGTAGGGTGAAGAGCAGGGAGGGCTGGGAGGAGACGGGGGTGAACCTCAGAGGAGATGAGATTAGACCGACGGTGGAAGACAGAGGCCCCACATGCTCCCCTCCTGATGTCTCCACCTCAGAATCAGAGCCTCTGGGGGTCCCAACCTCTAAGTCCTGACTCCCTGGGTGATAAAAACACTGTCACACCCAGTTCAAGAGAAGTTTTTAGACTCATCTCAATGGTACCTTCAATATTCAGGGTCTGATTTCCAGGGCAGCAGAGGGGAGGGTGGACAGTAAGGGTGTGGTCCGCGTGGCTTCCTGGGGCTCCAGGGATGGGGCAGGTGCTCCCTCCGTGGTAGTCAGAGGGGAGGGAGGTGTCTGAGGTTCGGCATTGATGAGTGGAGCAGCGGGCACTTTCCCCCTCCAGGAGCAGGATTCCCAGGAGCCATCACCTCTGGTTGAGACTCTCCACTGTCTCATGTACAAAACAAAATCTCTCCAATTTTCTACCAAAAGCAACACCTGGCACAGCTCTGCAGGAGCCCACACCCTAACCTTGTCCTGCGGGATGTGTGATGAGTAGAGGAAGGAGAACAGGTCAGGTCAGCAGGAGGGGCCGTGCACCTGCTCCAAGTCAGGCTGGACCCAGGGAAGATGCTGGGGCTGATGGAGGAGGAACAGAGGCGGGCGAGGTGGAGAGAAGACAGATGGACGGTCCTTTGGCAGCTCTCATTTCTTATTTCCGAGAGCCCCTGAGGATGAGCCCCTCACCCACACCTGTGGGGTCCCTGGGCCATCTCAAGACAGGAGAGGAGGCCTTGGTGGGATCTGACTGTGATGAGGGCGGAGTCCACCCCAGAGTAGAAATGAGTGAGTGACACACAACACATGCTGGCAATAATTCCCTAACTTGCCAGGGAGCAGGTGCACGGCCCCTCCTTAGTCTCAGGAGTGCCCTGAGCCTGAGCCCACCAGGTGAGCACAGGAGGGGCCATGTGAGCAGCACCCACAGCTGGGGTGCTTCTCTCTAAAGGAGCACGTTTAGGGTGGACTCCAGCCTCATCACAGTCAGATCCCACCGAGGCTCCGTGCTCACGGCACCTTGAGACTAAGAAGGGACCATGCACCTGCTCCCTGCATGAGTTAGGGAATTAGTCACAGAGCGTGTCGTGTGTCACTCATTTCTACTCTGTGTTTTCTATATGCCTTTGTCCATTGTTGCCCTCTCTTTTACTAAAACTTTTAAAGCAATACTTCAATATACAAATGTATACTTTTTATTTCAATTATATGAACCTATTCTTTAAAAATATTTAATTCTACTTTGCCTTTCATTGGGCCTTGATTTAATTTATATATTCAATGTAGACATCCATTCTTCATTAACCTCAAGTCTTCCTCCCGTACATATTAAAAATTGAGGTCTCCTTAATGAACCTCAGAAGTGTTTGGAGGTTTCAAAGCACAATGGCCCAAGGGAAACTGACCGGGTGGCTCCCTGTGGCTCGTGAAACCCGCGGGAGGTCAGCGGGGGCTGCAGTGCAGTTCAACCCTGGGCCTGGGTGGGTTCATGTCCAATCTTGTCCAATCACTGGATCATTCTAACATCTAACTAAACGTATTTTATATGAAAAAGTGCTTTAAATTGTTAATTTAGATTTAAATTAGAAGGGGGCAATTTGGTAGTGAGTTAATATGAAATACAATGAATATACCCAAACCAGTAGCTTTCTCGTGGATACTTATCTCTTGTTTTAAAAAATGTAAAGAATCAAATACTTCACTTACACATTGTTAAAGGTGTTGAATAATTCTTTAAATTAGAATAAATATATATATTTTTACTTTTTTTGAGATGGACTTTTGCTCTTGTTGTCCAGTCTGGAGTGCAGTGGTGCGATCTTGGCTCACTGCAACCTCTGCTTTCCGGTTTCAAGCACTTCTCCTGTCTCAACCTCCCAAGTAGCTGGGATTACAGGCGCCCACCACCACACCTAGCTAATTTTTGTATTTTTAGTAGAGACGGGGTTTCACCATGTTGGCCAGGCTGGTCTTGAACTCCTGACCTCGTGATCCGCCAGCCTCAGCCTCCCAAAATGCTGGGATTACAGGCGTGAGCCACCGTGCCTGGCCTGAATTTACTTTTTTGTATGTCTACCCAGGACACCTACCTCTCCTTGATGGGGAGGTTATATAAGTTATACATAACCTTGTACAGAATTTGTTATATAAGTTACATCTGAATATGTCTCTTCTCCTGTTTTGATTCTCAGGAGCAGCTGAGACCTTCAGCCCACCACAAACCAAGTCCGACTCCAAGGCCGGTGAGTGAGGAGATGCTCGCGGTGAAGACGCTGGGCACAGAGGGTCAGGTCCTGTCAAGGGAACTGGGTGTCCTGGCTGGACATTTTAAAAAATTACATTCATTCTAATTTAAAGAATTCTTCACCACCTTTAACAATTTATAAGTGAAGTATTCCTTCCTTTACATGTTTTAAAGAAGAGACAACTCTCCATGAGAAAGCTACTGCTTTGAGTATATTCATTGTAATTCATGCTAACTCACTACCAAAGTGCCCTGTGCTAATTGCTTCTCAACGGATCTCCTCTAATTGACTAATGCAATGTGTGTAAACCATAAGACAATGGGAAATTTTACTTCTTCATTTCTAAATTATGTGCCAACACTTCTCACTTTAAATGTCAACATGTATGTAACGACATCTTAAATATATAGCTGAAGTTTTACATATGTACATATTTACATGTGGTTATGTAAGATACATTTGAATACGTAAGTATATCCAAATTCATTTGATGTATATTCACGCATATGCTTAATATATTTGAAGTGATAGGTGTTTACATGTTTGTTCCTGGTCTAGACTCACCTAGATTCACACTTCATAAAAACAAATACTGATTCATGAACCTTGAGTGACACCACCATTTAACGTACATCTATTTGTATGTGTATGAATGTGGTCACCTGCGTCGCATTCTAGGTGTTACTGCCTATATGAGGAATTAGTAAACTAGAGATTAAACGGAAGATGAAACTCCGGCTGAACTGGCTGAGGCTGTGTGAAGAAGAAGCACCCCCAGAATTTCCCCCTTTTGTGCTTCTGACACTGGGGAGCCCCTGCGGACCAGCCTCTCATGCGTGGAGCCTGGGTCCTCAGCTGGTGGATAAGTGAAACTCTCCTCTCCGGGGGAATTGGCTTATGTGCTCCTGTGTCCCTGGCTACACAGACAGTGCACGGGGCTCAGTGACTTCTGTATTACCTTTCAGATTCTGAGCTCCCAGAGTGCAGGAAAATGCCCTCCCCAAAGGCCTCAGGAGCAACGTTTGGGTTTGTAGGACACAGGAAGTCTGAAATAATTCAATAAGGAGACTGAAGAGAGTGCTGCTGTGGCAGAGGAAGGGTTTATCGAGGAACTCACTAGAACTCATGTCAGGAGACATAGGGGAAGATAAGAGTGAAGAGCCCGGGGGAGAGGCTGGCTCAGGGCTCTTCCCCTCTGTTTTCATTCTCAGGAGCAGCTGACACCCTCGGCCCGTCACAAAACAATTCAGACCCCCAGACTGGTGAGTGAGGAGATGCTCTCATTTACGGGGCTGGGCACAAGGGTTGGGTCCTGTCAAGGGTAAGGATGGGTGGACATCCAGAGGTCCTGGGTGATGTTGATCTGTCCCAACTTCTGTGACCTCCTTGTCCACTATCCCCAGCCTCACACTCCCAGGATTACACAGTGGAGAATCTCATCCGCATGGGCATGGCTGGCTTAATCCTGGTGGTCCTCGGGATTCTGCTATTTGAGCCTCAGCACAGCCAGAGAAGCCTCCAAGATGCAGCCGGGAGGTGAACAGGAGAGAGAAGAATGCACCCTTCAGAGTGTTGGGGCCTTAGGAACAGATCTGATGATCCCAGGAGGTTCCGGGAGACAATTTAGGGCCAATGGTATCTGGACTGTCTGCCGATCATTTCCAGAAGGAGGAATTGGATTGCAGAGACATTTTCCGGGGTGATCCATGGCACATAACATGTGATACCTTTCCTCTCTATTAATGTTGACTTCCCTTGGTTGGATCCCCTTCTTTTCCCACCCCCAGACATGAGGCTACATCCCACACAGCAGCGTTGGGTCCACAGCTCTGCACACCTGCGTGCTCTGGTCCATGGCGCGTAACACAGTCTTCTTTATTCCTCATTGCCACACTCCCTGGTGTGCTTTACTGAACCTCCATTTCTTCAGTTCAGAGTTCCAAACGTGCTTCAGTAACTAAATCAATGGAGGAGTATCGGATTTCCACCAGGAAAAGATAAATCCATCCTGATGCCCTGACACCCTCTCTGAACCCTGGGAGCCCTTCCCTCCTTCTCAGATGCTACCTGTTTAGCTTTGCCTCAGATCATTGTGTCACCATCACTGCCATCCTGTTCCACACATTGTCATCACCCTACCCCCAGTCAGCAGCCACTCCCCATTCCTTCCTCCCTCCAGCACCTGCTAACCACGAGTGTGCTTTCCGTCTCCATGGCTTTGCCTATTCTTGCTGAAAACATTTCAATCTGCCTATGATCTGTGAGCTCCTCACTCCGAGATTTCCTGCCTTTCCAGGCAGAACCAAAGTACACCATGTCAAAAGCAATGATAGGCGTTTGCAGTGCGTTGGTGATCCACGAAAGGAAAATCACAGAAGTGGGATAGAAATCCAGCTGCAGACAAGACCTCAGGTCAATGAATCTTGTCAAGCAGTTGAACTGTTTCTTTCTACTCACTTAGGACAGTCAGACAGAAGTATGCAAAAGGACTGGGCTGATTCTTTTCTGAATTGTCCCAAAACCGCAAGAGGACTTGGGTCCTAGCACTAAAGAGTTCAACATGTCTAGGTCAAAGACCACTGTTGTGTTGGAAGGATGTAAAACCCTGCTGCACAGGATAGAATATTTGGAGGGAGGATCCTGAGAAACACGAGGGATCAAATAGTCCTGAACTTTCTAGGACAAAGGGAGCAGCCATTTGCCATCTACCATGTAAAATAAAGAAATCTTATCATTCACCCTCTACTGTCTAGAATAAAGAAATCTTATCGTTTGCCAACTACCCTCTAGAACAAAGAAATCTCTCCCCTGCCCAACAACACGTGGGTGCACATGCATCTCGCCATGCCACAGCTGCTGGTGTGAGTTCACCCACTCACCCAATGACCCCGAGCACTGGGACTGCTGTCAGAGCATTCGTGGGTGCAGAGATTGCCTGTCCAGTGCCCACCAGCTCATTAACCTCCCTGCACCAACACTGCCACTGGTGTGCACACACACAGGGAGACCAGAGGATCCACCCCCACTGCAAGCAGCTGCTGCCACCAGCGTGGAAGTGCACACAGAGGGTGTACACAATCCTGTGAGGCCAGAGCCCCACCACCGTGCTAACACCACTACCAGTGCAAATGCTCATACGAACACCTGCGGGGCTCCTGCCCACCCCACCCAGCTTTGCTGACACCACTACATTGAACACCGACACGGAGGCCAGCACCCCTGCACCCACCAGCAGCTCACTGCAGCCAACAAATGTGTACATCCCGGAGGAAAAGACATCATCACATCAGAAACACACTTGCATACATATGTTTATTGCAGCAAAATTCATAATTGCAAAGATGTGGAATCGACCTAAGTGCCCATCAGCAGATGAGTGAATGTGGTACACACACACAAGAAAATACTATTCAGCCATTGAAGAAAATGAAATAATGTCTTTTGCAGCAACCTGGATGAAGCGGGGGGCCATGACACTAGGTGAACTAACTCAGCAATGGAAAACCAAATACCGTATGCTCTCACTTATAAGTGGGAGCTAAGTTATGGGTAATCAAAGACATATAAAGGGGTATAATGAACATTGGAGACCCAGAAGGGAGAAAGGGGGTGGAGAGTGAGTAATAAAATACTACGTACCAAATACAATGTATACTACTAGGGCGACGGCTGCCCTAAAACCTCAGGCTTCACCACTGTACAATTCATTCATACAACTAGAAACCACTTGTACCCCAAAAGCTATTGAAATAAAATACATTTTTTAGAAAAAACTATAATACAAAGCTACAGTAACAAAAACATTATGGTACTGGTACAAAAACAGACACATAGACCAATGAAACAGAATAAAGCCACACACCTACCATCATCATCTGAAATTAAACAAAGTCAACAAAAATAAGCAATGGGGAAAAGACTCCCTATTTAAAAAATAATCCTGTGATAACTGGCTAGCCATATGCAAAAGAATGAAACTGGACAGACCCCTACATATCACCATATACAAAAATTAAAGCAAGACAGATTAAATATATATATATATTTTTTTCTTTTTTTTTTTTTTGAGACAGAGTCTCGCTCTGTTGCCCAGGCTGGAGTGCAGTGGCACAATCTCGGCTCACTGTAAACTCTGCCTCCCGGGTTCCCGCCATTCTCCTGCCTCAGTCTCCCGAGTAGCTGGGACTACAGGCGCCCGCCACCGCATCCGGCTACTTTTTTTTGTATTTTTAGTAGAGATGGGGTTTCACCGTGTTAGCCAGGATGGTCTCAATCTCTTGACCTTGTGATCTGCCCCCTTCGGCCTCCCAAAGTGCTGGGATTACAGGCGTGAGCCACCAAGCCCGGCCTAGATTAAATATTTTCATGTAAGATCTCAACCTATAAGAATCCTAGAAGAAAACATGGTGGAAACCCCATTTCTACTAAAAATACAAAAAAGAAAAAAAAAAAATAGCCTGGCATGGCGACAGGCACCTGTAATCCCAGCTACTTGGGAGGCTGAGGCAGGAGAACTGCTTGAACCTGGGGGGCAAAGGTTGCAGTGAGCCGAGATCACGCCACTGCACTGCAGCCTTGGCAGCAGAGCCAGACTCCGTCTCAAAGAAAAATAAATAAATAAATAAATAGGGAACATCTTCCTTGATACAGGCAAAGTGTTTACAGCTAAGTCCTCAAAAGCAATGAAACAAAAACAAAAATTCATGAGTGGGACCTCATTAACCTACAGAGCCAGCGAAGGTCTAATACTCAGAATCTGCAAGCAACTTACACTAATCAGCAAGCACAAAACAAACAGCCCCGTTAAAAAGTGGGCAAAGGACATGAACAGACACTTTTCCAAAGAAGACACACATATGTCTAAAAAGCGTAGGAAAAAATCTTCAACATGACTCATCCTTAGGGAGATGCAAATTAAAACCACAAGGAGATAACCACACCACTCAGAACAGCTATTAGTAAAAAGTCAAAAAATAACAGATGCTGGTAAGGCTGCAAAGAAAATGGAACAAGTGTTGGTGAGAACGTAAATTAGTTCAGCCACTGTGGACAGCAGTTGGGAGATTTCTCAAAGAACTAAGAGGTGAACTACCATTCAGCCTAGCAAACCCATTGATAGGTATATGCCCAAAGGAAAATAAATTATTCTACCAAAAAGATAGAGGCACCTATATGTTCATTGCAGCACCATTCACAATAACAAAGATGTGGAATAAACCCAGGTGTCCATTAACAATGGACTGGATATATGCACCATAGAATGCGACACAGCAATCAAAAAGGAAATCATGCGCTTTGCAGCAGCATGGATGGAGCTAGAGGTCATTAGCGTTAAGTGATGTAATGTGGAAACAGAAAGTCAAACATAGCACGTTGTCACTCATAAACAGGAGCTAAACATTGGGCACACGTGTGCATAGATAAGT